CTGTCCAGGTGTAGAGATGATGGGTGGATGGATAACCTTGTCTTTCTGTTTGATGTTTCTGCTCCACTTCTTCTCTGCTTTAATCTTTATTCTTAAATACTGAGTCAGGTTTCAGCTTTTTTCATGTGGTGGCCATTTTTATGTGAGGATCCTGAACCCAGTCATCCAACACACTCCAGAGTCCAACTGATGCTTCCTCTCTGCACTTTGCTTCTTGAGTTTAGTGCAGCTTTCACATAAAGATAAAAAAAACAAAGTTATCACACTGTGAGGGAAACAGCAGCGATATCAGCATGTTTGAAAAGCATGAGGACATCCCTGAGCTCCCAGAGACCATAAAAATAAATACTGTGGTTCGTCCTGTCAGCGTTCAGGTTCTTTCATCACAAAGGGAACAAGAAGAACAGGTTTTGTCGTGTTCATGTCATGTTTAGCAGGTTTTACTGAGGCTGCTGTCCACCGTCACCACCATGTTTAAAGCCTCCCATGTGTCATCACACATTCATGTAGACGTTCAGAGAACAGTCTCCGTACAAACTGTTGGGTTCGTTTTAACGCCTGTTTCTACGGTCGACAGCAGAGTCCATACGTACAAAAAGTTAGAAAAAAACATTAAAATTGGGACCTATGAATCTTCAGATGGGTGTCTGCTAATGACGACTAGTCGATGCCTTTAAAGCTCCAGAGGACTGGTTCCAGCCTCGACTGCTGTATCTGCTCTCTGAAACACAAACCCACCTCTCAGGAAAACTACCATCACCTCTCCAACCACCTCAGTCTTCTCTGATCGTCTCTGTAAAACATAAAATGTAAATGTAATTGTTGAATAAATATTTCACGTTAGTATCATCCAGCCTTCATCATGATCATAGGCAGCCACAACCACCTGCAGGAGATCCGTTTGGTGCTCTGCTGTCATCATATCTCCAGAAAGTATTACTTTTCTTTTCCTGAAAGAGGTGGCAAAGGATGTAGAACATCAAGATTAATGAGTGAATATCAGCAGAGAGGAAACAGCTGGACTATGTCCACCTCTGCAGAACCAGCAGCCGTCCAACGGATCCTGTGCTTGTTGTTCCAGAAACAACTCCAGGTTCTGACCAGGCTCGGCTCACTCCATCCACTTCCTCTTTGCATTTCTCTGACTCCTGTGTGGCTGTGTCAGACACCTCTCTCTGGAGGCATTACTCACATAATTAACTGCTTCAGTAATTTGCAGGCGTTTTTGTTTGGAAGATAACTGACAGTCTCCAGAAGAACAGTGTCAGCAGCTCGTCCACAGCTAAACGTACACTGAGCTAACTATAATGAAAACTCTAACAGCCCAGTGACTGAAGAGCGGCTCCACTGGGATGAATGCTTCTGAACCGAGTCAGTTACACAAATGTGTTACTGAGTGGCTGAATTTCAAATGTGGAGTCTCAATTAATTCTTCCTTCACTGCACAGCTTCTAAAGCAGCTTGTGTGTTCCTGGTACTGCTTAAAATCTGCCCTGGGTGCCAAGGTCACAGCATTTGGCAGCCATTAAGCCACTAAGACGCTGCAGGGTGGCCACACTTTGATACGCCTTCCCTCTGCATCCCTTTGCTCTGTCTATCTATCTATCTGTCTATCTGTCTATCTATCCTGTATTTAGTGCAGCTCTGCGTTTCTTTCACGTTTATCAAGTCCTTAAATTAACAAAACATTTATTATTGAAGAACTGATGCTCATTGAGACTAGTTAACTCGTTAAGGATTAAACTTCTGAGTATCGCTCTCCAATCAGTGGTGTTCCATCAGTCATTTCACTTGATTACAGAGTTTATTGTTGTGTGTGTGTGTGTGTGTGTGTGTGTGTGTATTATAACATAACAGCCATGCTCTGACTCTTTCTGTACCTGCTGTCTGTCACCTCTGAACCAGCAGCTCTCTGCTGCCTGGCCTCCACTAAACCAGGAGGTGTGTCTTCAACACGCCGCCGCCGACTTTCAGAGTGTCGGCTCGTGTATCTGCTCGCTGCGGTTCCTCCCATGCAGAGATGCGGTCACTCCCAGGTGTAATCACTCCATAAAAATATATATAGATGCAGATTTGTTTAAACTTTGATTTAAACCTTTTCTCGGGTGTCCAGCTATTGCTTAATTCCAACTGCTTGATTCTTCCTGTTGGGGGCGGAAAGTCTGAGTAACCACTTCTAACCTCTCTCTATCCGCTCTATACATAGTAACACAATCCTATTACAATTATCCTGAAATGTCCTACAGCCACAGCGAGAAGACGCAGACCATCATCACCATGCTTCAGCTACTTACAGCCTGTGCGTTGGACTTTCCCATTAGAGTCTTCTGAACAGAGGCTGTTGAATGTCTTCATGGAGGTCGGCCTGCTGTGCTTTTGATTAGCCAGGAGAAGGAGTGAATATCAAATATAGTTTCAAGGGTTCAATATGCAGGGAAAAAAAACCAAAAAAACAAACTCAGTCTGTACACATTTTGCTCAGCAATTTGTAGAATATATGTTCTTTAACTCCCGCTATCCCTGAGCAGTCTGTAAACGAGCATCTAGACCGTTAATGGTGACTCAGAGTCGGGAGGCGACCACACACCTCTGATGCTGTTAGAATTTGGGAACCAAAATGATTTCCACTGTTAGTTTTCATCCTGGATTTCTTAAACCTGAATGCTTCCCCTAGTTCCCTGCAGGATGTAACTGACAGCAGAGCCACAGCACATGGAACCAGTGCCCTTACTGGGGCACTTTAACTGGGGGGACAACACACAACAAGGGGCTGTGGGCCGGAACTGGACAGTAGCCTTCGAACACGGGGCACACACTCAGCCAGGTGAGCACGGAGGCATCTCAAAGCCTGACCTCCATGACCCTCTACAGGACCCAGTGGAACATGGAAGCATCTCAAAGCCTGACCTCCATGACCCTCTGCAGGACCCCGTGGGTGTAGCTGATGGATGGATGGGTTTTGTGTCACTCCACTCGCAGTGGACGACACCTGGAAACAGGGTTCGACTTTAAAATCTTACACAAGTCCAGTCCACTTGCTACAGCTAATCGATAAACTCTCGACTGCTTTTAGAGCTTCAGCTGACCAGAAGACGGTCTTTTACATTAATATACACAGTAGATCAGGACCTTCAGCTTCCCCAGTGTGTTCCCCTCCCTGCAGTCCTACAGTTCCTCAAACCTTTGGTCAACCGCCACCATGTGGCGACTGCTGGGATTACAACAGGACATTTATTGTGGGTTTTTTTGTACAAATTTTGTTAGAAGTCCTGATGACATGTCAGTGGTCTAAGCAGTGCTGCCACATGGCAGTAGGCGGAGTTACAAGAGAAGCATTATTTCATGTTTTTACCTCAGGAAACGTGTTTTGAGCTTGTTTGGCCTTCGTACAGGTGACATTTCAGTTATTGCTCAACATGTGGCAGTCTTCTTATTTTCAGCCGGTGGGTGTTGAGATCTGCACACAATGACTTCTAATGACCTCTTCATCCTGTGGTGGTGGTTTTTCCCTGACACCTTCCTCTGTCTTATACGTTCTGGGCGTTCTTTACAACCGTTCTGAGTTTACTGTTTTAGGAAGCAAATATTTTAAACGTTCAGCCTGCTTGAATCTTCAGCTTGAGCGATGACATCATGTGACTGATAGCAATCATATGCATTGTCCTCAGAAAATGCACTTTCTGGGTAATATTGCTTCATATTTTAGCTTTCTCACAGCGACAATGCCAATCATGTTCAGGTGATTTATGCTGCCTTTTGGTGTTAATATCCCTGGTTGATTTCTTTTCTTTTTACTTTTTTAAATTGAGTTTACTATGTAATTTGGAAAACATACCAAAAGAAATGATGGTTTATCAAAAAGTACAAATATTAAAAAAACAACAACAACTGGTGGACAGTTTTCCAGATGCAGTTGTAAGAAGTTGGAAAAGGTTCAAAGAGACGTTCTGGTGTCTGTAGATTCAGTGGCTACTGAAGAAATTCATTTAAGTCACGTCCAGTTGGTGTAAACATTTTTCTGGCATTTAGAATTGTTTCCCCACATACCATGTTAGGGCAGTCACGCATGTTGCCTGGAGGTTCTATCTCGCTGCTGTGGCTCTTAAACACGTCACATTACAGCTACACAAGAACACAAATAGTTTTTCTCAATGATAACATGACCTTGATTGATCTGTATTTTTAACTGATAGGTTAAACGTCTCCATACTGTCCTCATTCTTAGATGTACGGTTTCTTCCTTAATGCCTGCAGTAGGACAAACAGGAGTTGTCAAATGCTGTTTTTTAATTGATCGCTATGTTATTTAGTGGTTGGTGCATTTGTGGCATTTCAGAATTCATGTCACAAAAAGATTCGATTAGTGAGCAAACAAGTGCTGTGAAGTGTAGCTGCTGGGTGCTCTGTGTTTCTGCCTTAACTCCAAGAAAGTCTGGGAAGATTTACAACCTATGAAAGATGATGATCCTGTGGTGGTCAGCAGAAGTGGACTGACTGTTTTTCATGATTTATTTGGGGTATTTTTGTATTTTGCAACTTTGTGGGTAAACTTTTTCTCTTCAAATACACAGCGGGATCTCTTCTATTGGCTTATTAACAATTAACTTATAATGAGGAACTAATTACCATGAGCATTGCATTAGCATTGCATGCAAAGTACTGCTGAGGCTGATAAGAATGACATTAGTTTTGGAACTGAAAACCCTCAAACACGTGTGAAGAGATTGGTTTTCAAAGCCAGATGTAGTAATTGCATTAATTGGGACTACAGTCATTCAATGAATCCTGAGGCATCTGGACTCTGGGGAACATCTGAGCCACAGCTGAAAGATATTCACATCCCCAGAGTCATGCAGTTGGTTGGCTATAAGAGACAACAACTGTCAACCACAGATGATGGCAAGTTCTACGTCTTTCAGCTTGTCTATGTGTAGATACAGACGTATGTAAGAAGCTAAAGAGAAGTCACGCTAACACAGTGATCTGTCTCTGTCTTGCAGATCCTGGCGATGATCTCGATCATCTTCATCATCATTTCCACTATCTCATTGTCCCTCAACACCTTGCCAGAGCTGCAGGTTGTAGATGAATTCGGCCAGTTCAATGACAATCCCAGCCTGGCCCATGTGGAAGCCGTCTGCATTGCCTGGTTCACCATGGAGTACATGCTGCGCCTGCTCTCCGCCCCCAACAAGTGGAACTTCATCAAAGCACCGCTGAACATCATCGATCTGCTGGCTATACTGCCTTATTATGTGACACTCTGCCTGACTGAATCGAACAAAAATGTGATGCAGTTTCAGAACGTACGGCGTGTGGTCCAGATCTTCCGTATTATGAGGATCCTGAGGATCCTGAAACTGGCCAGGCACTCGACAGGACTCCAATCTTTGGGCTTCACTTTGCGAAGGAGCTACAATGAGTTGGGTCTGCTGATCCTCTTCTTAGCCATGGGCATTATGATCTTCTCTAGCTTGGTGTTCTTTGCTGAGAAGGATGAAGACGCGACCAAATTCACCAGTATCCCAGCTTCCTTCTGGTGGGCTACTATTACCATGACAACTGTTGGTTATGGAGACATTTACCCACAAACCTTGCTGGGCAAGATTGTAGGAGGGCTCTGCTGCATAGCAGGTGTGTTGGTCATTGCCCTTCCCATCCCAATCATTGTCAATAATTTCTCAGAGTTCTACCGAGAGCAAAAGCGGCAAGAGAAGGCAATCAAGAGGAGGGAAGCTCTCGAAAGAGCCAAACGGAGTGGAAGTATTATTTCTATTAACCTAAAGGATGCTTTTGCCCGTAGTATGGAACTCACAGATGTGTTGGTGGACAAAAGAGAGGACAGTAAATGTCCTGTGGACAATCACCTGTCACCCAGTCGCTGGAGCTACCACAAGCACTACTCTAATGTGGAGGTGGACAGCCCAGACAGATCCCAGAATTATCAAGGAGGGCTTCGGCTGGGCTCCCCTGAACAAGCCAAACCCTCGTCTATCAAAACCACCCCTCAGCATCTGAGTGCAAAGCGACTTGAAGATGCTTACAACAAAACAGCAGCCATCCAAGAGCAGCGAGAAAAAATTGTGGAGGAACAGATGGAGATGAATGCATTGGCATCCACCCAAGCCCAGCAAACTTCACCTAAAGTCAGCAGTGCCAGGAAACTGTCCAGTGTGGCTGATGATTTTGCAGTGGAAAGAGGAGAAAGAAGCTCCCTGCTCCCCAGTGTTGAAGTAGGTCAAACTGGGGCTAGGCAGCAGCGTATACCCCCGCCCTTGGATCTAAGTCAGATTAGTTCTTTGGAATTGAACAAGGGCTCTGACAGCATCCAGCCAATGACCATCATCAAAGAGGGTTTGTATGAGTTCATGTCTAGCCCCAGAGAAAGTGCAGCTGAAGATACTGAGTTGGTGTCACAAAATGTGGAAAGCTTCGGGACGATCTGTGACAGCATCTGCAGCTCCTTGCAAGACAACAGCAGTTCACAAAAGACAAGAGCCCTCAAGGTTGACTTCATTGGATCCCAGGATGACATTCTCATGGCGGTGATGACACCTGTGGCAACACCAGCCTCCGCTGGCTCAGCCAAGTTTGCTCAAATACTTTCCGATGACATGGTTTCCAGGTTTTCTTCTTCATCTAGTCCTGCAATACAGGAAGCTAAGTCTCCGCTGGCAATCCTGCAATCTCCGTCCCTGGCCCAGCAATCTGTCAATCCCAGCAACTCCCAGGGGGGAGGTGAGGGCTCAGCAGCCAGGAGCTTAGAAGGTGAAGGGCAGCTCACAGGCTTAAGCCACCAGGGGAGGAATCACATGGAGAAGTCTGCTGTTGCCTCAGGCAGTGATGCTAGCCCACTGTCATCTAAAGGTAGTCAGCTCAACTGCACCCAGGAGCTCGTAACCATGGAAGGAGCTGACGACAGGGGAGCAGGGGAGGGAGCAGAACAGAGTGGAGACAAACGAGAAAACCACATTGTTCTGGATGGAAGCCTGACGCCGCCCTGCGAAACAAGCATGTAGGCTGAGGAGTGAAGACAGGCTCACAGACAGGGACAACAAAGGCTGGGTTGGGCTGAGGAAAGACTGGTGGGACGGGCCCCAGGAAGAACCTGAAAAAACAAGGTACCTGGTGTGGGCTTTGCACCTAGAGAGCAGCACTTGTCATATCCCATGAGACTTTGGACTCTCATCTCTTTTTTGACAAGTCCTGCTGTCCAGAGTGTTGTCACATAACATTTTACTGGAGGAGAGTCGAAGCACCGGCCCACTCGTCTCGGCACCGCGTGACTTTGAACTGACAGTTTGGTGTGTTGGACTTCTTTACTCATTCTTTGAAGATGAAGCTGATGTGCTGCAGAGCAAAGCAGTGATAACTGACTCATCTCCTAAAGCTCAGATATGAGCAGAAACGAAGCCTTGTCTGAATGATAATATCTATGACCATCCTGAAGAGTTTTACGTACATCTCAGCAGGAGTAATGTACAGTGTGCTACTGCTTGCTATTTGGACCTATTTGTTGTAATGGACTACTTACACCCAGCAGACAGGTGGAAGCAAATAATATTTTTTATATTTGACTGAGCAACCTTTGAAAATTGATCTTTTACCAGACACAAAAAACAAGAATCAGCTATTCTTCTGTATTCAGGATCTTGCTCATGCGTCCTCTAAGTCCAGGTACTGCATTCTTGTAATGTAGAAACACAAGCACATGACACGAGACAAAGAGGCTCATGTTGACCCTTAACCAGTGATGCTGTGAGTCCAGGAGGACCTATGTAACTGCTCAGTCCAGAACAGGGATCTTTGTCTCAGTGCTTCAGCAACATATGCTCTGATTCATGTACGTTTCTGTTTTTTGATTGTTTGCTTTTTGTTTTGTTTTTAATTTCTGTCCCTCATTTTTCTATAATACCTGAATGAAAGCAGGTCTTGGAGGTGAAAGGAAACAGAACAGAGATGTGACTGCTGTAGGATTTATCACTAGGCCTCTTTTCACACAATTCTAGAAGAAAATACAAAAAAGAAAGCATTTAGTTAACAACACTGTGTACTGATAATTAGACAGAAGAACTGAGTGTATATCAACACGTCAAGACAGAACGGACACCAGGACTGCAAAAAAGTTCTGGTACTGTTCACCGCTGGGTCATCTCCCACTGCCTTGTCCCAGCTCAGTGGCTTCTCCTGCAGCGCTATGCCGTCCTGAATGTGTTGTCCTGAGGCAGGGCTCTGATTTTCTTTTCTGATCCTTTATTTAGAAGATAACTGCCCATGTGTTGAACGCTGTGTTCAGGCAGCCCTCTAAAGTCATGAAGATCATCAGTGTGAACGCAGCACCAGAGACGATGACGAGCACCCGAGCACACCATCTGGTTTGGTCTCTGTGAGACTCGTGTCTTTGTAAACGGTCATTCCAGTTTGTTCTAACTTTAGTCTTGTTTGGTAGTTTTGACTATTTTTTAAAAGTAATTATATCACAGGCTGCAGGGTGGCGCAGTTGGTAGCCGGTTCGCGTCCCGGTGGGGGCACCGGAATCTTTCTGCGTGGAGTCTCCATGTTCTCCCCATGCAGCGTGGGTTCTCTCCGGGTTCTCCGGCTTCCTCCCACACAGTCCAAAAACATGTTGAGGTTAATTGGTGATTGTAAATTGTCCGTAGGTGTGAATGTGAGTGTGCTTGGTTGTCTCTAAGTGTGGCCCTGTGATAGACTGGCGACCTGTCCAGGGTGTCCCCTGCCTTCGCCCTAAGTCGGCTGGGATAGGCTCCAGCCCCCCCGTGACCCTAGTGAGGATTAAGCGGTGTATAGATAATGGATGGATGGATTATATCACAGTACTAAATTAATACCTAAGATCTAGACCACGGTGGCTCTGAGGAACCGACCCGCATGTCGAACACGAGCAGTCAGACAACCAGAACCACACATTGGTCCAACCTGTCTGGAAGAGAGAATACAACTAAACCGTAACACCAACGTCCATCACTGTGTACACCTCACTAGACCAAAATAATTCACCTGTCTGAGGGCCGAGGGGCATCATCCAACAGAATCAGAACCCACAGCCTGGTCACTGAAGGTGCAGAGAAGGTGAATGCTTCTGAAGTGTGCATCACTGTTCCAGGTTGTATGATCCAGGTTTGTATGGAGACGACCCAAACGCTGAACATTCACAACAGCAGAAGGCATTTTGTTGTCCAGACTGTTTCCATGCATACAGCCTCTTCACTGCAGCTGTGTGAAACATTTCTGTACAGCTGGTTCTGATTTGGTGTCATACAACACGGTTCAGATCATCTGGATGAGCTGTGAACTTGTTGATCATCCGACTGGTTGTGTGTGACCCGCTGGCCTGTGTTGCATCACCAACTACTGAAGTAAGACAGATGTCCTCTGAGGGAGGAGATGCAGGTTCACCCCTCTGGTCTTCAGCCACTTGAAGGAGGTTGCCCTGAGTTTCTGTGACTCCACACACTGCTTGTACTGTTCAGAGCAGAGAAGCTTCAACAGCGATGATCGGTCAGAGACCAAGAGAGAAAGGGTGTCTGTGTGACTGGTTTGACTGCACTGTAGAATGAGAGCGCCCTCTACAGGCGTTCTCACAGCCCCTACATGACAGGACCTGAGGCCGCTCTAGCGCTCCATCTCATCTGATCTTTTAATGAGAGCAGCTGACACATTCAAATGCACACTGGATGTTGTGCTAACCAGATGATTCACACAGACTGGAGACCTGCTGACAGGTGAACTATAACCGTATCCTACTTCCTCCTTCTAGGTCAAGACGTCATATTTTCTGTTGTCAGTTAAAACTCATTTATTGGATTTTTTAAGACGGACTTGGAGCTATGTGTTGTTCTCAATATCTCAGTGTATTTTTTTTAAATGTGCCTTTTCATAAATAGACAATTTATGAGAAGGTGAAAAAAAAACCCTGTAAAATATTTCCAGATTTTTCTCTCTTTTTTGTTCTTCTTTTCTCTCTTGTTCTTGTGTGGTGGATAACTATACTCAGACAGTATCCTCACACGTTCAGGTTTTGTTAGATACCTGGCGTTGTGTTACCTTATCCATTCAGTGTCATCTAGTTTTTATGCGCTACAGTTCACAGTTCGACCTGACTGTGCCACACTGTCATTTTATTTCACCAGTTGAAAGTTTTTGTAGAAAGTAATGTCCTCTGTAAAGTTCAGGAGTGAGTTCAGCTCAGATCCTTTGGTGCTGCAGCAGTGCACCTGTACAGGTGCACGACAGGACTCCACCTAGTGGACAGCAAAGGCACCGCCACAGCAGGTGGACAGGTGTGTCAGCCAGTCAACACAAACTTCACTATTAAACATTAGCCTCCTGTGTCCAGCTTGTCTCGGGGCCAGTGCCTCCAGCTGAACAAGCAGAATGGCATCTCAGAACCAGGGAGGCAGTACAGTGACCAGAACTGGATCTTAACAAAGTCAGATCCCAAATAATAAAGTCCTCATAACATTAAACAAGATCCTAAAATACATCTTAAAATACATGACTGGAAGAACCAGATGGTTTTCCTTATTATTATATTTTCTGTTCATCTGAGAGATTAGCCAAAGAAGAGAGAAGTTACTCTATAGCCATGAAAACCAGGCTGTCGCTTTGTCTGCGACACACTAAATACACAAACCTCAGACTGCAAAAAGTGTTTTTAAAAGAACAAACGTATAGCTGACATGAAACCATGATCATATGCAACACCAGCGATGTGCCTGCTCACCAGTTGGTCGGCTACAGGGGACAACAGAAATAAGTCAGCTGCTGGCTCACATCTGAGCTCCTTGTAGGGTGAGACAGCAGCTGCTGCTCAGTGCATGTGTTAGGGTTAGGGTCTATATTCACAAATCCATTTAAGATAACCAGGAAAAACCTTCTGCTATAATGGCCACGGCATATGTCTAACAGCTGGCAGGAACATATATGCAAAGTATTTTATAAAGAAATTAAGTTTCAGCTTGGAACAGGGTTTATCCAGCATGCTCTGTATAGGCCAGAATGATTCAGTGGTGAAATAAACACTGTCCAGCTTCACCTGTGTCTACCTGTGGAAGAACCTGACAGCTGTGCCTCGGTTCGTCATCAGATGGGCTCCTCGCTGAGGAAAGCATTAGTTGGTCGCTGCTGCTGATCAGAAACCACAGAGTCAGTGTTTGGTCTCCTGTGCCCAACCTCATTTCCACATCTCGTCTGAAAAATGTCAAACCGTCATTTCTACTTGTTGTCGTAAACATTTAGGTTTTGTACTGTGATTAAACGGACACTGACGCCTGCTTCTTCACCTGTCCTACCTGCTCAACTTCTTTAATCGTGTAATGTTCCACTCCTCTGTCTTCATCTACTTTGTTGAACAGTAGCCTGTGTGATGATTAGTAGCATTCATTATATGTACGTCAGAATAATGATAGTGAATGACACGTACTTTGGTTCTGTCATCAAAATGCAAGACAAATAAATGTGTTCATGTGACTGTGTTTGTTGTGTTTTTTATGCTACGCATGTGTGTGTTTGTGAAATCTAAAACTCCAGTTGTGCCAAGTCGACCCTAAACGTAAAATTATCATCACAAATAAGTTATATGTGCACTTCTAGACTGTAACGTATATCTGCTGAAGCACATCACATGAATTTATTACACTACCAGTTATGCCTCAAGTACATTTAGGACTACTCTGTCCTTCATCTGCTCATTGCGTTACTGTGATGTTCTTTTCTTGACATGATCTAAACTCAGGCTGCAGGTGTCTCGGTGGTTAGCACCGTTAGCACCTCATAGCTAGAAGGTCTCCGGTTGGCGTCCTGGTGAGGACACCCGGGATCTTTCTGTGTGGAGTCTCCATGTTCTCCGCATGCAGCGTGGGTTCTCTCCGGGTTCTCCGGCTTCCTCCCACAGTCCAGAAACATGCTGAGGTTAATTGGTGATTCTAAATTGTCCGTAGGTGTGAATGTGAGTGTGCTTGGTTGTCTGTCTCTAAGCGTAGCCCTGTGATAGACTGGT